TAGATGCTAGGTATTATTTTTGTAAGGTGTTTCTTTTATACAGGGTAGTAAGATGCTACATCTGTATCTCATAGTGTGGTAGGCTGGGTAACCAAATTGATCCTTCTGTGGAACAAAACTAAAAATGCTGCACAAAAATTTTATGAGAAAAAAACACAAACAAAACACTCCAGCCTAAAATTCAGTGACAGTGGAATCCAGAGAGGTAAGTGCATTACCATAGCTGGCTTTTGACTTGAAGGCACAGCTTTGTGATGCTTTGGGGAGGAGAGGTGGAACCCAGCTGGAGACCCCCCATAAACCTGGGGCTCCAAAGCACTATACATTCATGCAATGTGAGCTAGTACCTGCCCTGGGGACTGTGAGGATGATGGCTTGTCTTAAACCTGGGTGCCGAGTGACAGCAGAGAAACAATTTTTGTTTCTTCTGATAAGTCTTTGCCACCAGCTAGACTGAACAAATAGAACATAAGATCATACCCATGGCAGACCTCAGATATTGGAACAATGAGTCGCAGGATAAAATATGTGTGTTTACTATGGTTCCTAGAAAATAAAGCAAGGTTGAAAACCAGAGTTAAAAAGCAGATTGGAAAAAGAGCTAAACAAAATGTATAATAATGAACAATCAAATTAACGAAACAAAGGCAGGGTGTGGTGGCTCATGCCATCCCAGCACTTTGGGAGGCTGAGGTGGGTGGATCGCTTGAGCCTAGGAGTTTGAGACCAGACTGGGCAACATGGCAAAACCCTGTCACTACAAAAAATACAAAAATTGGCCAGGCATGGTGGCACACATCTGTAGTTCCAGCTACTCAGGAGGGTGAGGTGGGAGGATCACTTGAGCCCAGGAGGCAGAGGTTGCAGTGTGCCGAGACTGTACCACTACACTCCAGCCTGGGTGACAGAGTGAGACCCTGTATCAAATAAAAACCAAACAAAACAAAAACCCAAAAAACAAAAAACAAAAACCCCCCACAAATTAATGAAATGGAAAACTCAATTCATGGATTTAACCGCGGATTTAACATTCCTGAAGAGAGAATTCCTGAGCTGCCAGATAGACCTGAAGAAATGATCCAGGATGCGGTCCAGAGATACAGACATGAGAAATATGAGACATTGAGACACGGAGGTTGTAGTGAGGTGACAGTGCCTGAGACTGTCTCAGAAATAATGAACGTATCTGATTGACAGATTCAGGGAACTCAACAAATTTCAGGATAAATAAGTAGAAAGAAATCCACTGGAGCAAAGGACAAAGAGAAGAAGCAGCAGCGTGCCCAGAATATCACATGGAGCAGCACCTTGGCTCCTGAGAGCAGGTAGCAGGGGCTGAGAGCACGACTTCTGAAATGGAACCCTAACCCTGTCATCTGCCCTGATTAGACAAGTCATTCCTAAGCCATAGTTGTTTCTTCATGAAATGTGCATAATAATCACAATAATAGTTAACTGTTGGGAGGATTGTGAGGATTAAACGACCTAATTCATATGATTCCCTTAGCCCTATGACTGACATGTTAACAAGACTCAACAAATGCCAGCCTCCATTCTCTGTTCTCCAGGAGGTAAAGTTTTCAGTATCTCCAAAGGCACTGGCCGGTGGGGGTGCTGGTGGGCAGGGGGCAGAGACAACCAAAGAGGAGCAGGGGCTGTCTCGAGCACACTCCACCCTACCCTGCTGGTGGTCCCCTTGCCCAACCTCCACACCATTTCCACATCTCTTGCTCAGTGCAGGCTTCGTTGTCCCCAACCTGCTGCACCCTGGGCAGGTGGGCTCTCTTCTCTTTGCCCCCACAGAACTGTGAATGAACTTCTTTTATGGTGTTTCTTAGAGGGCTGCTGATGATTATTTTTTAACCTGTGTAAGTACCACACTGTGCTATGAGCTCACTTTGATGTGCCTAACACTTGCCACATTTTCTAGCACATTTTTTAGGGTCTAAGAAGGATTTTCAGGTGCTTGGATGTGGCCAATATCATAAGCCATAGCTCTAAGAAAGAGAGGATTCTGCCCAGTTTGCTCAGTGTATACAGCCGGTGCACTAAACCCCATTGGTAACACAAAGCCTGTTCCATCCAGTCATGCCCAGTAACTCAACAGGGCAAATGACAGGGCAGCAAACCTTGGGGTTTTTGCCTGGGGAGGCCCCTGCACCATGAGGGCTCCTAGGTCAATTCTTCTGGGAAAGGTAAATGTCATATCAGGAAAGAAGGGCAATTCCCTTCCCTCTGGGAATAAGACCTTTGCTGGAAGTTGTGTGATTGCAGTACAGCTTGCCCAGTCGATTTCGTAGAACAGTTGGTGCTTGTCAATAGGCTCCAGAGCAGATGGCCCATGTGCTAAGGGCCCAGACAGATGGTTGCCTGGAGGCACAGGCCAAAGTGAGAGCACGAAGCTGAGGGGATGTGTCCGTTATCAATTGCTGTGTAACAACCTCCTCACCCCAGACTTACAACAGTGGCTAAAAGCAAGAAATATTCATCATTGCTTACTAGGCTGAGGGTTAACTGAACACTTCTGCTTATCTTGACTGGACTTGATTGATCATGGCTGTCATCATTCATGTATCTATGGTCAGCTGGGGGCTGGCCAGCGCAGGGTGATCTTGCATGTGTGGCAGTTAACTGTCATCCACTGTAGCAATAGGGGTGACTGGTGCCACTCCTCTCTTGCAAGATGAGGCCAGGCATGTTCATGTGGTGGAGGTAGAGCTCAGGGTGAGCAGAGGCCACCAGGCTTCCTGACGCCTAGGATCAGCCCCACCTCATTCCACTGTGATCTACTGTCACAGCAAGACAGGCCAACCCAACCCCTGGGGTGGGGAGCGGATGGCAGCCCTTGATGGAAGCAGCTAAGTTACAAAGCCAAGGGGCACGGATACAGAGAAGAGTATAAAATTGTGGCCCTTTTTTTTGTTTTTGCAAACTGTCTACCACTGTGGATGAGGGGAACATTTCTGCTATTATGCCTTCAGAGGTGGGAGTTACTGCAGATGGAATGTTTCTCGATTAACTGATTTCTGTGAAAACACCTTGGTTCTCTGCCAACCAGTCTCCAGCTGAGCCAACACTAAAGATTGTTGAGAAAATAGGCATGTATGGATTTAAGCCTCAGTGTTTATGGCCTGGTTTTAGTTTTTCTTTTGTGATTCTCTACATTATTAATTTTCAATTAATTGACTAATTACCAGTTCTAATTGAGTCAGCCAGAAAGACTACTGTGTTTTCAAAAGGCCAATTTGCCCTCAATCATCTCAATATCTCTTACCTTTTGGAGCTGAAAAGGATCTTAAAGATAACCTAGTCTGATGCCCTCAAGTCACAGATGAAGTTGCCCAGGCCCCAAGAGAGGATGTCCTTGACCATGGCCCTATGGTGACTAGAAAACCTAAATAAGGGCTTCTCCCACTATTCCACCTAGAAGGCGGTCCTATGGGGGCCCAGAAGAATGCTGTAGCAGGCAGAATACTGATCTCCCAAAGGTGTCCTAATGAAGTCATGCCCCAAAGAATTAAAGGAACCAATGAGTAACAGAAATTCTTTTTTTTTTTTTTTTGAGACGGAGTCTCGCTCTGTCGCCCAGGCTGGAGTGCAGTGGCCAGATCTCCGCTCACTGCAAGCTCCACCTCCTGGGTTCGCGCAATTCTCCTGCCTCAGCCTCCCGAGCAGCTGGGACTACAGGCGTCCGCCACCTCGCCCGGCTTATTTTTTTTGTATTTTTAGTAGAGACGGGGTTTCACCGTGTTAGCCAGGATGGTCTCGATCTCCTGACCTCGTGATCCGCCCGTCTCGGCCTCCCAAAGTGCTGGGATTACAGGCTTGAGCCACCGCGCCTGGCCCAGAAATTCTTGAGTTTGCAGCATGGCAGGTAAGAAAAGAAACAACTTCCCTGAAATACTGAAACTCCCTCTCCTCATGAGATAAAAGAACTGGCTGAAATCGCTGGAACCAAGATGGCCGACCAGAGTCTAGGCAGAAAAAGCTTGCTGATGCCACAGACTAAATTTCTAACTTTATATTAAAGTTTATACCCAAAATTGTACAGGAGACCCATGAAATAGTATGAAGAGATAACTGCACATGACCCAGGACTTTCCAGCCCTTCCCTTTCTTCCACCAAATCACCTACTAATTTTAGAATCCACTCCCTAAACTCTTTCTAATAAAAATACTGCATTGCAGGGTGATAGATTTGAGGTTGACATTGCTGTCTCCTTGGAAATCGACAATATACTGACAATATATTTAAAATTAAATATTTATATTTCAATAAAAAGCCTTTTCTCAAACACCCAGTGTCATAGTGTTGGCTTCCAAGGCATTGAATCCCTTTTGTTCAGTAACACTAACCCCTGGAACCTCTGACTATGTTAGTTTGAATGGCAAAAGAGACTTTGCAGATGTGTTTAAGGCTAAAGACTTTGAGAAGCAGAGATAACCCTGGATGGTCCAGCTGGACCAATCTAATCATGAGTCCTTAGACGTGGAAGGGGAGGAAGAAAAGTGGGTCAGAAAGATACAATGACAGAAGAAGAGGCAAGAGAAATTCAAAGTGTGAGAGGGTTTGACTCACCTTTGCTGGCTTTGAAGATAGAGAAAGGCAACAGAGCTAAGAAATGCAGACAGTGCTCAGCAGCTGAGAATGGCCCTTAGCCAACAGCCAGCAAGGAAACAGGGAACTCAGCCCTGCAACTGCAGAAACTTTATTCTGCCAACAACCTCAATAAGCAAGGGAGTGAATCTTCTTCTAAAGCCTTTGGAAAGGAGCACAGCCCCACTGACACCTTAATTTTAGCCCTGTGAGACCCATTTCTGACTTCAGAGCTATAGAACTTTAAGATAATAAATGGTGTTGTTTAAGCCACTAAATTTGTGGTAATGTACTTCAGCAGCAATAGAAAACTAATACAAATGTGATGGTGACAGACCTTCCCTTTTTCAGAATATCTTGGTGCATAGCAACTGATGTCATAGAAAGGGTTCTAGAAGAGCACGTCTTGGAGAACTCTTGGGTGCAGACAAGTGGATGATTAATGAAGTAGCATCTGAAAAATCCAGGGAACCAAATGTAGGTGGAGCAACTTCCCTGTGACACACGTCGAAGCTGCTGCAGTGGCTGTTCTTCCCCTCCCCTTGGAAAGGCACCAAAAGCCCTTCCTTTTGGAAGGGCTGGTGGACTGGTAGGCGGGTATATGGCGGGCAGGAGGGTAACGGGCATGACAACACCCAGCTGCAGGAGATGCTCATCAGCAAATTCACTTATTGCTCATTTGATGACAGTTCAGTTGGGAAGAGGAGGTTTTCACTCATTCATTCAACGAAGTTTCATTGATAACCTACTCTGTATTAGGTTCTGTTCTAAATTCTGGGGATAATGAAGAGAAAAAAAATAGACCAGGTTTCTGCATTCCTGGTGTTTACACTCAGGTATGGGAGAGAGAAAATAAGCAAGTGAACAGATAAATGAACAATGGAATTCCTGATATTGATTAATGGTATGAAGAAAATAAAGACCGTCTTTTTTGATGGGGCAGTGATCAAGAAATCTCCTTTGAGGTAGCGAGCTCATATGTGGTGGTCAGGGCAGTTATGCTCCAGGTAGAAGGAATGGCTGGTGCAAAGGACCTGAGGGGAATGAAATTGGCATATTCAAGGAAAAGAAACGTGCAAGGTGACTATGGCAGAGTGAAGGTGATCAAAGGAGAGAGTGATGTGAATTCAGACTGCAGAGGTGCTCAGTGGCTGCATCAGAAAGTCTTGTCAGCCAGGCTGAGGAGTTGGCACCTTATTTAAAGTGCAAGGGGAATCCGCTGGAGATTAGTGATGTGACTAGACACATGCTTTATAAAATGCCTTTCCAACTGCTGTGTGGGCAGTGGGTTTAGGGGAGCAGAGAGGAGTATGTAGTAGAGGAGTGTAGTTAGAAAACCTCCACCTTAGAGATGATGGTGGTCTGGATTAGGAAGATGGCAGAAAAGAAGATGACGGGTGAATAGGTTCTGGAAGAAGTGTAGATGGCACACCCTGATGAACTGGCTTCTGCGGGAGAGGGGAGGAGAGGACTCAGTATGCCTTCTATGAGTTGAGATGAGGCCTGCCCTTTGGAAGACAGACATTACCAGAAAATGTTGTTTGCTCTGTTGGCAAATGAAACATGCACTGAGAGTCACTTTTTAAAATTATTGTACTTTAAGTTCTAGGGTACATGTGCACAACTTACAGGTTGATACATAAGTATACAAGGGCAGGGGTGCAACCAGAGCTAAGAAAAATGTTCGCAAGTAAAATCTAGTGCTGTGCATATTTAATCCACTTACTCTTCAAATCAACACAGTTAAGTACTGTTATAATCTGTGCTTCAGAGGAGGAAACTGAGGAATCGAGAGGTTGAGTAATTTGTCTAAGATCACTAATGGGATCGCTGATATCTCAGCCACTGAGGGGTAAAGCTGGAACTTGGACCCAGGCAATCTGATTCCCAAGTCTGAGCTCTTAAATGCAAGGCCCTCCTAGATACTGTATTTGGTGTACTGGTCACGTCTGCAACTAATCATGCAGCTTGAGAGTTTGAACAAATGTTTGAAGTATAATTCTTCTAATTCATGAATATACTTATTTCTAACTTTTGCCCAAGTTAGACATTTCTCAACAGGGAGCAATTTTGTCCCACAGGAACATTTTTGTCTGACATAACTTGAGGGCATCTAGCTACTGGCATCTAGAGGCCAGGTGTACTCCTAAACAATTCCAATGCACAGGATGTTCCCAGAACAAAGCATATTCCAGCCCAAGTGCCAAGGTTGAGAACCCCTGGTGTAGGTGTATACAGCCTGGAGGACATGCACCTGCGAACGGTGACAAACAGGAAGGTGCAATGAATTGTCCAGTTGATATATAACGATGGAGTGCTGGGGGCTATGAGGTATTCCAGGAGGAAGATGAGTTCCAATTTCCAGTTGGACATTCTAGTCTGAGGAATGGGATAGAGCACAAAACAGGACAATCACCTGCAGGGTGTCATGGAAAAAATCTGAGAGCAATAGGGGCTCAGAGGGAAAATGGAACTTTTATGGAGGATCCATCAGTGTCCAAGAAGTTGGCACCTGGAGTAAGGCCTCAAGATGGAGCAACATTTGAATGGGGAAAGGCATGGTAGGGCCCTGTGCATTGGGAAGAACCATGCATGAGGGCGCGGGTGCCAGAGGAACGGAGTGGGGAGGTGCAGAGGCATCCAGAGAGGGAGCGCCATGAGAATTCCGAGTTTACTGAATAGATTGGTCCTGATAAAGGGTGGATGGGGTAAAGTCAGATCATGGAGGGCTTGGAAAGCCAACTGTGGGTTTGCTGTGGTAAGAAGAGGGGATTAGCAGTGTTCTTCAAGTGACATTTTGTACCTGCTTTGGGGACATTTCTCAGTCATGGTAGAAAACACCACCTGCATGAGTTGGCCCGGAGGGTTGGAGATGAGAAGGCTGGGCTATGACTCAGCTTGCTGTGAGGAGGCGGTGGGTTTAGATGGTGACAGCCACCTAAAATGGAAAAGAAATGGAGAAGGCTAAACTTAAGAGTCCATTCTCTGAGTGCCCTCCCCTCCCAAGTGACCCCACTTTTAAAGACAAGGAAGCAGAAGCACTGTGAGGCTAAATGACTTGTCTGTTGCCTGGCTAGTATGTGGCAGGTCTGGGCTTGTCTCATTGCATGGACAGCAAGGGAAAAACTCAGGGGAGTTTGGTTTATAGAAAATCTAGGGACAAGACTGTGTAAAGGACAAAGACACAACTGGGAATAAGACGCATAAGAGGCGGTAATGGACATAACTCAACAGGTCAGTAGTGGTTCTGCTGGAGTGGTGGGGCCATGATGCTTTTTTTTTTTTTTTAATTTCTCTTTTCCGTTTTCCAAGATGTATTTAATCACCAAAGTCTACTTTTACAATAAAGGGAAGAAAGGTCTTGAGCATCTGTATCTAATGTCAGAGTGAAATGAGTGAGATACAAACCCAGAAGGAGTCAATGGGTTTTGCTGGATGGAAAGAATTGGGGTTGGGAGGGGGGCCTCAAGAGTGCAATTTCCTTAGAAAATAGGAGATCAAGAGGAGGAGAAGGGGTGGAGTTTCAGGTGTCCCAGATTTGCAGTGACTCGAAGCAGAGAATTAGGATGGGAAGAAGTGTCATGGCTTACCAGGTGAGATTCCTATTTTTCTGATGACACTGAAGTGTGCTCCACCCCCAGCCCCACAGTGCCCTTCTTTCCCTTCAGAGGACCAGTGTCCCTGTGACTCTGCTCACTCATCTGGCCACCGTTGCCCCGAGTTGCCAGGAGCCTGGAGAAGATGAAGGCATCCGTGGTTCTCTCCCTCCTTGGCTACCTGGTGGTTCCAAGTGGTGCTTACATCTTGGGGCGTTGCACAGTGGCTAAGAAACTCCACGATGGAGGCCTGGATTATTTTGAGGGCTATAGCCTTGAGAACTGTGAGTAGGCCCCCTTAGTGCTCCCGCCTCTCACCTCCTTGCCCTCCCTTCCTTGGCCAGGCATCCCCAACTCCAGCTGTCCTCAGAGTCACACACCTTCTGTTCCATCTTAGGGGTGTGCCTAGCCTACTTCGAGAGCAAGTTCAACCCCATGGCCATCTACGAGAACACACAAGATGGCTACATTGGCTTTGGCCTCTTTCAGATTCGTGGCAGTGACTGGTGTGGTGACCATGGCAGGAACCGCTGCCACATGTCATGTTCCGGTAAGTCTCTCTTTCCATTCTGTGCGGGGTCACTGGAGGCTGTGGTGCTGTGTCAGAGGCCTGCCTTCCAGATGGCCAGAGTTTACAAAGTTTACAAAGAAGAGGGCGTGGCAGGAGTCATATCCAGCGTGGGTCCCTGGGAGGCTGAGCATTGCACTACTGAGGGCACAGCGAGATCAGGCTGTGGGGAGTCAGGCAGGCTAACCTAGGATGAAGTGATGGAGACCCCTGTTGAAATGGGCAGAGAAGGTGTTGGGAAGTTGAGAGGAGGCTGCAGGCATCAGAGCCTGAAGGTTGGGAGCAGAGGGCCCCAGCTGGCCTGATTTCACCCACGCTCGGCCACCTCTCCCTTTTTCAAGGGGGCAGTTGCTGCCACTTTGAAAGGCAGAACTGGTTACTGGGAGGAGACAGGAGCTGGGCATGCCAAGGGGAGCTTGCCCACTGCTCTTAGGCGGTCCTAAGTACCTGTGATCAAGGGGAGGTGGTTGCCAGGATTCACTCATTGCATGAGCATTTATTGAGCACCTACAAAGTGCCAGGCCTTACAGAGTTGCCATTTTAGTGCTTGTTAACTGCCAGCTACTCTTTTAAGCCCTTTATAAGTATTCATCTAATTAATTCATCTAATAAATCTAATTAAATACCCATGAGGTGGGTACTGTTATCCCCATTCTACAAATGGGGAAACTGAGGCCCAGAGAGGATAAGTATATGCCCCAAACCACACAGCTGTGCGGTGGTAGAGCTGGGAGGGAGACCTAAGCAGTGCGACTCCTGAGTTGGGGCTAAACCAAGAGGCTACACAGCTGCGCCAGGTCTCCCTCACATCTGAGGCAGTCTTTCTGTCTAAGCACCCCAGCATCCTCCCTAATGAGCAAACCTCCCTCCACGCTGATGGGTGAGAACCATTCCAGAGCCTGTGGCTTCTGAGCTGGGTCTTTAGGAGACAGAGTGGAAGGGTTGGAGTGAAGGCCTGCAGCCGTCTCATGTGGCCTGGGGAGTACCTGTCTGTGTTGGGCCCCATGATTGACCTTTAGCTCCAGAGAGGAGTAAGAAAGTTCTCTGAATCAAGGAGAGGCAGGACTGCAAAGTAGGAGGAAAAGGCACAGGAACTCTGTGGGAACCTGGTGGGAATCCTAGCTGCTGCCATTAAGAACGACATGAGCTTGTATAAGTCACTTCTAGAGCCCCTCCATCTGTGAAGTGGGGACATTAACAACCACTTAGGGTTTCTGTGAACATAAAATGGAATAATGTATATAAAATGCCAGGCAGGGCCCTTAGTGAATTATAATAATCACAGTCTAGTTGAGGAGACATACACATTAAAAGTGTAAGTTAATAACATTTTAAAATTAATTAAATTCATTTAATTTAAATTGAAATGATGGTACATCCAGTGTCACCCAGAGCTTCCTGGTAGCCAACGCAAAAAGAGAAATATGGTAGGCCTGTAATTTATATTTCATAGGCAGAAATCTATCTATCTATCTATCTATCTATCTATCTATCTATCTATCTATCTATCTATCTATCTTATCTCCATCTCTCCAGAATCCAATAGGAGACACGTAAAATTATCTGTCTGTAATAGAGGTGGTACTGTGTGTTGTGATAAAAATATGGTGGACTGTATATCCTGAGAAACTCTCCCGTTAGGTAGAATGTAAACAAAGAAAAGAAAAAACAATTCTTTCAAAGTCCCAGACTGAGTTGGCAGGAAAGTAAGAAAAATCCCTAGAGGCTAAAAGGGGAACAAGGATACAGATAGGTTAAGTAAAGAGTTAGAACAGGTCATGATCCTGGGCATCAGCTGATTCTCTGTAGCCTAATCAATATATTTTAATGGAAAAAATTTTATGAGAATTACAAGTTTAAAAATCAATAGATCTGGTAAAAAGATGACTACATCCTGCTACCTCCTTAGGGTTGTTTAATAAAAATCTAAGGATTGATTTATTATTGGAAGACTCTCTGATGTGAGCACCCTGTACCTTCCCTGATATCACTCTAACTTAGCTGTCACATGGGGGCATGGTATCTTCCATTTTATTTTCCCCACAGCTTTACTGAATCCTAATTTAGAGAAGACAATTAAATGTGCCAAGACCATTGTAAAAGGAAAACAAGGGATGGGAGCATGGTAAGTCATACATTTTTATGTAGCCTGTATTAACAACTTTCACTCATGATCTCTAATCTGAATCTTGGCCAAATCTTGGCTGTTGCACATCTGCAGTGCCAAACTAAAAGGCTCTGACTCACCAAGGTAAGTAGCAGAAAACCATTGAGTTCCACAACCTCAAGGCCACAGAGGGAAGGAAACAATTATCAGAAATTGCCTTGAATTGTACTTTTTTCACCCAAATCTTGTTTAGGGTTCTATAGAATGCTAGGATGAGCATCTTCAAACTAAATCTGTGTTTATTATGATAATCTCTGATTGTTTCTTTCCTATAAGTTCCTACAAGGTTTTTGAATACCTTTAAGGTTCTTGATGCATGTTGCGAAATCCAGCAGGCCCGTATTTGTTTAAAGGGTTTAGTAAAATGTAGATTTACTGCATCTTCACCAATCATAAAACTTTTGCGATTTAAAGGTGAATAACTGGCTGGGCATGGTGGCTCACACCTGTAATCCTAGCACTTTGGGAGGCGGAGGCAGTTGGATCACCTGAGGTCAGGAGTTCAAAACCAGCCTGACCAACATAGTGAAAACTTGTCTCTACTAAAAATACAAAAAAAAAAAAAAAAAAAAGCCGGGTGTGGTGGTGCATGCCTGTAGTCCCAGCAACTTGGGAGGCTGAGACAGGAGAATTGCTTGAACCCATGAGGCAGAGGTTGTAGTGAGCCGAGATCGCGCCGCTGTACTCCAGCCTGGGCAAAAGAGTGAGACTCAATCTCAAAAAAAAAAAAATAAATAAAAAAGCGAATAACAATTTTGTCTTACCTTCTTTTGTCTTTTATGATATCCCATTAGGGCATTTTCTCCCATGTTTGTTATATATTACTATTGTTTTGTAATTTTTTTCATCTTTGCTCTTTACCTATTTTAAAATTCAAGTTATATTATTTGAAAGACCTCTTTATATATTTGGTATATTAACTGATTGTTGTACATTTATTGCCAAAATGACTGCAACTCTAATTTCCTCTTTAGCCAGATATTTGCTTAGAAAAGTCTAAAACTTACAAGAGTTTGGGCGTATGCCTGACTTCTTTCACCGAGTGTTGCATTTGTTTGTGTTTTTGTGTGTGGTTGCAATTCATTCTCATTGCTATATGGTATTCCATTGTGTGGATTCACCGCAGATTACTTACTTATTCCTCTATTGGTGGGCATTTGGTAGTTTCTTCATTTTTAGTGCTGCCATGGACAGTCTATACTTACCTTTTGGTGAATGCAAATGTAAAAGGATTTCTATTGTTTTTACCAAGGAATAAAATTGCTAGTCATAGAATAAGTGTATTTTCAGATTTGGCATATTGTGTCAAACAGTTTTCTAAAGAGATTTTTATCAATGTATACTACCATCAGAAATTATGCATTTCAGTTGCTTCACCTTCTCAACGACGCTTGGTAATTTCCAGTTTATTCTCATGACTGTGTTGTGGTATTGCATTATAGTTTTACTTTGCATTTTCCTGATGAGGTTTCAAAATGTTTATTGGCCATTTATATATCCCCTTTGGTGAAGTGCCTCTTCAGATCTTTTGTCAGTTTTTCTATTGTGCTGTCTTTTTCTTATTAATTTGTAGGAGACATTTATATATTCTGGATAAAGTTTTTTTGTTGGATATATGTATTGCAACTGTCTTTCATTCTGTGAGTTACCTTTTTATCTTTTCTTTTTTTTAATAAAAGACATCTAAAAAAAAAAAAAGAAAAGAAATGGGGTCTTTCTCTGTTACCCTGGCTAGAGTGCAGTGGCGTTATCATAGCTCACTGTAGCCTGGAACTCCTGGCCTCAAGTGATCCTCCTGCCTCAGCCTCCCAACTAGCAAGGACAACAGGCACATGTCACCATGCTTGGCTCTTTTTTTTTTTTTTTTTTTTACCTTCTCCAGAGTGGCTTGATAAATAGACGTTCTTAGTCATAATGTAGTCTAATTTATTATTGCTTTCCCTTTATGGTTATTTTAACAAATATCTGCCTATTCCTTGGTCTTAAGGATATTCTCCTTTTTTCCTAAAAGCTTTATTGTTTTATCTTTCACATTTGGCTCTGCAATATCCTTTCTTTCTTTTTCTTGCCCTGTTGCATTGGCTAGGATCTCCAGTAACTGTTGAATAGAAGTGACAATAGTAGCATCCTTGTCTCATTTCTAGTCTCACAGGTAAAGAAGTTCAATATTGTATCATTACATGTGATGTTTTAAGTATCTGGAGATACTCTTAATCAGATTCTGTTCCTTTTCATCTCTAGTTTGTTAAAGTTTTTTTTTTTTTTAATAATGAATGGGTGCTGAGTTTTGGTTATTACATTTTATTTACTTTTTTGCAATTCTGTGTTAGCTTATCCATCTGCCTTAAAAATTCAAACTATTGTCTTTTTTTAGTGTCTCTTAACTCCCATGACTTTTCCAAAGGTCATATCTGGTGACATCTTATTGAGGATGTCAGTTCTATAAAATTTACTTCTGGATCCTGCAGTACGTTATTTCATAATAAATTTCATTATGATGTGCTGGTAGTGGTGGCTCATGTCTGTAATTCCAGCACTTTGGGAGGCTGAGGTGGGTGGATCACCTGAGGTCAGGAGCTCAAGACCAGCCTAGCCAACATGGTGAAACCCCATCTCTACTTAAAAAATACAAAAATTAGCCAGGCATGGTGGCATGCATCTCTAATCCGAGCCACTTGGGAGGCTGACATAGGAGAATCGCTTGAACCTGGGAAGCGGAGGTTGCAGTGAGCTGAGATTGTGCCACTGTACTCCAGCCTGGGCAACACAGTGAGACTCTGTCTCAAAAAAAATTAATAAAGAAATTTTATTACGATGCCCCCTTTTCTTTTTGTGATATTTCCCCATAGGTCCCATGTTAGCTTTATCCTCTTTACTCTTCCTTGAATAAGGACGGAGTTACCTGCCTGGTTGATTCTGGACATTGTAATCTCCAGATAGATCTAGAAAGAATGTCATATTTCCTAAGTTCCAGATGGCACAATTTTTCAGATCTTAGTATTTCTGAAACTAGGCTTTATTTTGTAATCAATGTATTATGCCCCCAAAGCTGTTATTAAATCATTGATAAATCTTAGAATAGAAGATGTCTTACAATAGAGGAAATCCTATAATAATAGCTGCAATTTCTTAACTGATTGCATTTATATGCACATCATGATTGAATCCTCACAAATCCCTCTGCAGTGAGCATTCTTATCTTCATTTTCAAAATGAGAAAACCAAGGCATAGAGAAGTAGAATAACCTACTTGTGGTCACAGCAATATGATCAATCCTGGATCTGTGCTATTCCAAGCCTCAGGTCACCAGGCTACTCAAAGAGATGGGGATGGGTGACACAGCAGATCTATGCTCTGGTTATGTAGAAGGCAGCCAAAGTATAGTTATCCAGTACTCCAGTGAGTCCTAACTCAAGGTTTCTGAGCAGAGTCAGTGTAGGGTGGTGGGGGGAGAAAGGACAGGCCTGCAGGTGGACAAATTTCACTAGTGGAAGCATAGGTGGTGTTCCTTACTATAAATCATGGGCCCTGAAGGCAGCGGAGACTTTGTCCAGAATCTGATCCAGAAGGTTATGTCTGTCTCAGAGGCTGAGCCTTTTTGTTGTTGCTTTTTTTGTTTTGTTTTGTTTTTCTGTGTCTTCAAGGTACTTTGGAACTATTAGGTTATTGCAAAAGTCATCGTGGTTTTTGCCATTAAAAGTAATGGTGGTTTTTGCCATTACTCTTAATGGCAAAAACTGTGATGACTTTCACACCAACCTAAAAAATTCAACAAGAGATTTTTTTTCCTGCTTCTATATCTCCAGCCTCTAGCTCTGTGCCTGACACATAATGGATGCCCCATGTGCTTGTTGAAAAATTGAGGCTACATTTGGGGCCACTACCCTGAAGTCATTCATAACATTTTTATTTTTAAATTTACTATTTATTATTTTTTAAAATGAAAATAAACCCTTTCCCTCTTAGCAGCCTCCTCAAGGTCACTGGTGTTAATATGCTTAGAAATCAGAGAAAAATGTATGCACAGATATTTTAAAACACACATGGAATTCCAGTGTCCACACTGAGCTGCTCCTTGCTTTTTCTGATCTTTTAATAGAGCTCACGAATCGGTATTATTACTACTTAAAGGTCTCTGTCATTGCCATAACAGCTGCTAGTGCCCTGCTGTATAGATGTTGCAGGTAATTTATCTACCAGTTCTCTAATGATGAAAATTTAGTTCGTTTCATTTTTGTTGCTGCTGTTGCTGTTTCAAAATTCTATCATAAGCATCTTGCTTTTAGAACTTTTATGTTCTTTCAGTTGTATCCTCAGAGAAATCCCTTGAAGGAAATTTATTAGACTATTTGGTGCATTTAAACGTTGGAGAGACCAGTTGCTAAACTGCCATTCAGAGAAGGGGCCCCTCCATCAACACTGCACGAAGGGGCCTGTTTCTCCTCAGCTCACCAGTCTGAGGTGTTAAAAACCTGTGTAGTTTTGGAAAATTGAGGTGTGTAAAGTGATATCATTCTGTTTTGCTTTGCATGTTGAAATTACAAAGAAAGTTGAACATATTTTCATGTGCTTATTGGCTATTTTTCTGTGAACTGTTTACTTATATTCTTAGTCCATTTTTCTATTGGGTTGTTAATGGTTTTTTTCTGCATGTGGTCTTTTATATGTCTTTTATAAATTAGGCTTATTAGACTCTTATTCATTTTATTTGCGTTAACTATTTTTTCAGGTTTGTTATCTGTATTTTGATTTTATGGTATTTTTATCCTACAAGAGTTTCACAGATTCACAAAATCAAATCCCTTGTTTTTTTTCCTTTGTGGCTTCTGGATTTATGTGACATCTCTTTCTTAGAAAGGTCTTTTGTACTCCAAAATTGTAAGTCACGTATTACAACAATGCTGACACACACACAAATTAAGCCCTATATTAAATTTTGGTTAAATAAATTAAAAATAGAATATGATTTTATGTTTTTAATGCTTAAAATGTTGGCCTTCTTGAAATTTATTTTGGTATAAAAGGTGAGGTGTAGGGATGCAGCTTTATATTTTTTAAATGGCTAGTCATTGATTTCAATACTATTTAATCATTAACCCATTTTCATCACTAATTTAATAGACTGTAATTTTAAAGTGAAAGTTCCCTTATTAATGTTAACCATCTTTGGAGTGTTCGAAATACCTTTCATATATGGTCCAAGTTTTCAATTAATGTGGAAGCTTGGCTGATTCTCTAGAGTAAGCCTTAATGAACTAAAACCATCTTTAGTATATGGCACTGAGTGGAGCTATGCTAAGCCAGACAGATCAAGGCCTTCTTATTGCTCAGGTTCCCAGTAAAGGGAGCTGTTATTAAGCTAACAGGCAGCCACGTGTTCTCCAAAGCTCAGTTGGTCAGCTCTGGAGGGTTGGGGCAGATAGGAAGGGAGAAGACCCATGGAGACCTGGAAGACCCATGGAGACCTTCCCACTGAGGGATGGGATGACCAAACAGGGTTTCTAATGGCTTAAAGCTGGCCTGGGTGACTCTCCACCCTGGAGATAGGGACTGGAGAACCTAAAGCCTGGGTGCTGGCACGGGGACCCAGAACGAGGGAATCACTATTACAAGCACCAGGAAAAAAGGTTAGAGAAACTCAATGCAGCTGACTTAGGTGGGGCTAAAGAGTCGGAAGGAATTTTGGAAGGTGAAGAGTGAAGCAGGCACATGGAAAGGTGAAAGAGGCCCTGGCCCAGGGGACAAAGGTTCTATTTGCAGGCCTAGGGTCTGCCAAAGACTCATCATGTGACTTGAAAAGTCACAGAACTTCTCTGAAGCTCACTTCAGAGAAGCAAATGATACTTCCGTTGCAGGGTTGGGGGAGAATTTCACAGTTCACAGTTCAACCTCCTCATCTCACCATGTGGGGTTTATGGAATGAGGTGGGGGCTGATGTGCGCACTAGGATGGAGGAAGCACCAGTATTCATGCCAAGATGTGATGGAGACAGCATTGGAGATGCACAGAAGCCTTCATAATGCTGCCCACCACAGGGGTGGCAAACTCAAAGTCTCTAAGGGGGCAGGCAGGTGTAAATAGCCTGAATGGGGCTGTGAAGCCCTGGAGACCCTGAGTTCTGACTTTGAGGAGCCCCTCCCTCCTGTTCACTTCTCTCTACAGGCCCACCTGGTCCCGGAACTGCCAGTACTCCGACACCCTGGCGCGGTGGCTAGATGGTTGCAAGCTGTAGCCACCTGCATGGCCCCTGCAGCACTCACCAGTTGCATCTTGTGAATGAAGATACTTTTCTGCTTGCTGCTTCAGTCAGTCGTGTTGATGATCTCACCACTTTAAAAGCTCCAGGTGGAAAAGGACAAAAGTTTGCTTCATCCGGGAATGCAGGATGCAGAATAAACCAAACTAGTTACTCAACTTGGGCCAAAGGTCTCTGCTTTGGTTATGATTATCTCTATGATCACTATTATTTACTATTATTGTGATTTATTATTATTTAATCTCGGATGGAGGAATTGAAGGAAGGCAATTATCTGAAAAAGAAGATGTGTCCATGAATGTCAGTACTAAACAGGAAGAGGAAGAACAGGTACAGTAGAACCAAAGAGAAAAGAAGAGTGGAGGAGAGGCTGGTACAAGCAGGGCCTCCAGCTAAGGCATGTCCACACTGGGACACACAGGGGGAGAGACCACAGAATCCTCTTTGCATGTCTATGAAGGGAATCAAATGACAGTTGCTCATTTCTTATAAAAAGTCTCTAAAAATTATAAATAACACATATTTGCACTAGAGAAATTTGGGAAAATACAGAAATGTTAAAAAGGAGAAAATTTTTCCTATAATCCTCAGTACTCAAAGACAATTGCCGTTATGTTTTCGTTGCATTTCCTTCTGGTCTTTTTTCTACATTGGGTTTTTATTCTTTTTCAAAAATGCTATGATAATGCTGTAGTTAGAGAGTTTTGCATCTGGCTTTTTAGAAAGAAGGCAAACAAATAAGGTAAGACACTTTTCCCCTACATTTATTTCTATTTTAATTAGCAAGGGGTTTATTTTAGAAGCTTAGTGGCTTACAGCTTCTTTCATGGAATGGAGCCTAGGTGTCAGCCTGGGCTTCCTGGACACACCTACCTGCCTGAGATCTGATAGCAGCAGCAGCAAGAGCAGAGGTATCTGCTCAGCAGATCAGGTCACCTATGGGACCCACACCATCCTGGGGGTTGGAGAACATAGTTCCTCATCTTTCAGTCCTCGTACAGGAAGAAAAGAACTAGAGTGGTATGGAGAGAGCCTGTCAGTCACGTGTGCTTTCCATGGTACTGTAGATTCTTCAAAGTGAAATTTTAGTGCCAGTGAATATTCCAGTATGACGTACCATATTTTGTTTAACTTTTGCTCTACTGTTAGATGTTTTCTTTCTTTCTCTTTCTCTTTCTCTCTTTCTCTCTCTCTTTCTTCTTTTGTCTTTCTTTCTTTCTTTCCTTTCTTTCTGTGTCTTCTTTCTTCTTTCATCCTTTCTTTTCTTCTCCTCTTCTTCTTCTTTCTTTCTTTTTTTCTTTTTTTTTTAGACAGAGTCTTGCTCTGTCACCCATTGCTGGAGTGCAGTGGTGCCATCTCGGCTCACTGCAACCTCAGGCCCCCAGGTTCAAGCAAGTCTCCTGACTCAGCCTCCCGAGTAGCTGGAATTACAGGTGTGCACCAACACCGCCCGGCTAATTTTTGTATTTTTAGTAAAGACGGGGTTTCACCATGTTGGCCAGGATCATCTTGAACTCCTGACCTCAAGTGATCCACCAGCCTCGGCCTCCCAAAGTGTCGGGGTTAGGGGCGTGAGCCACCGAGCTTGGCCATGTTAGATCTTTAGGTATTGCCATTTAAAAAACCATTACAAGGAGTGCTGAAGTCCCTGTTTGGGGTTGTCCCTTTTTATTGCTTACATTTTAAAAATTACCCCAACAACATATATTTAATGAAGAAAACCTGGGTAGCATAAGTAGTTATAAAGAAGGAAATTAAGAATATCCCCCCACTGGAAACAGAAGTTTTCATCATTGTTATGTAGCTAAAGTGGGGAACCCTGACTTAAGGATGGTTAGTGTTAAACTTCGTGTGTATCCTTCCCTACGTGTGTGTGTGTGTGCGTGCACATTTCTCCCTTACAGACATGGACTACTACTAAACATACAGTTTTATATCTTGCTTTTTTCACTCAATATTTTGTGATCTAATATTTCAAAGTTTACAACAGGGATCCTAGCACCGTTTTTAACAACTGCACAGCTTTCCATTATATAGACAAACTATTATGTATGTAACTCTTTATTGTTACTCTTTGTAATTTAGAAAAAAATGGAAGAAATTAGGTAAAAAGTGGCTACCTGAAAGGCAGGCAGGATCCAAATCAATTCAGCCCTTCTTTTTGTCTTCATCTTGGTTACTTTCAGAAGGAAGAAATGGCTGTAAGTTAGAATTTCAGAGACAGAACTTTTACTCAAGTTCAGTAACGATTGTTGAGCTTAATCAAACAATCTTTTGTGGCTTTCCCTCCTCTCTAGAGAGAAGAGCATTCTATATTCCCCAACCACACAGCATGAATCATACAGTAAAATTACTGGCAGTGGCACTTGCAGTTGAGATCAATGTGAAGCTTTGATCAACTTTTTTATTGAGCTGGGAACCCCACACTCTTTCCGAGGGTGGGTCCAAGAATGATAATGCACATGACCTCAACCCAACCTTAACCTAGAATTAATAACCTGCAATTGATGAAAACACTGTCTCCTCGAGTGCCAAATCCAGCATGCTGCCGCCTCCTTCCAGCCCATTGCTTCTGCTGCGGCTCACCATCCTCTAATGGACACTTGTGTCAACATGGGCGTGAGGCGTGAGGACAAAGCAAATGTTAGTGTATTGATTGGAACAGCCTCTCTTGGGTTGCCCAAGCCCACTGATAATGGGTGTTACAGTGAGCACTCGTTCTGGGGGCAGATCCCCTTGTCTGGTTTACAGAATGATCCAAGCTGGATTAGGAAATCTCAAAAACAACAACTCCTGTTATTATTACTTCTGTTACTAGCAGCTATCATATTAATGCCAACTGTATAAATATTACACAGACCTTTACACAATATTTTCAAGCCTTGCAAAACCTCCTAATGTAGTTATGAAACATACCCCTACTACAGATGGTGAAGTTGAGGCTTAAGGCTAAATAATGTGGCTTTACTCCAGTTTGGTAAGTGATGAAGTTGGGATTGGTATCTCCTCAAAACCTATATCCCCCCACAGAGCTCCCTTCCAAACCCTGGTACTATATAGGTATTAATTTTCTACTCCATTAGCTGGAAAATTGGGTCTCTAGCTTTTTAATTAAGACATTGCACTTAAGAGGTATTAGGCAACTAGTACAGGACAATGGTCATCATGTTGGTGCCCAGTTCACAGGCTGGGAAATTGAGGGAATTTTCTCAACTGCACAAAATAAATCGAGAAGACAGTGTGGGAATCTACAGCATTTCTAAGCTTCTGTCATAGTAAAAATCACCTGGGGCAGGCTGGGCACGGTGGCTCATACCTGTAATCCCAGCACTTTGGGAGGCTGAGGCAAGCAGATCACCTGGGGCCAGGAGCTCGAGACCAGCCTGGCCAACATGGCTAAACCTCATATCTACTAAAAATACAAAAAATTAGTTGGGTATGGTGGTGGATGCCTGTAGTCCCAGCTGCCTGTGAGGCTGAAGCATGAGAATCACTTGAACTCAGGAGGTGGAGGTGGCAGTGAGCCAAGATCACACCACTGCACTACAGCCGGAGCGACAGAGCAAGACTCTGTCTTAAAAACAAAAACAAAAACAAAAAACAACAACAAACAAACAAAAAATCACCTGGAGCAACTGTTAAAATGCTGATTCCTGGGTCATGTGTCTGACCTACTGAATCCATATCTCCAGAGATGTGGTCCAGGGAATCTGTGTTTCCAAAGCTTCTCCAGATAGCTCTGATCTTTGGGAAACTTGGAAGAAACCGGCTAGTGCAAAGAGTACAGGGTTGGAAAATGTCAGAAGTCATAGGGATCGTTCCTGGCTCTGCCACTTCTCATTGAGTCAGTTAATTACTTGAGCCTCATTTTTCCTACCTGCAATGAAGTGAGCGACCCCGGCTGCACCAGCTACCCAGTGGTGATGTTGAGGGGGCAGCAGTGAAGCCATGGGGGTCTTCTGATTTCTGGGCCCTTCACCTGCTTCCCAGCACCATGCTGACTTTATGAGTAAAAACACTGCTACAGATCTGCCACCAGGAGGGCCTAGGGGGGGTGTGTGTGTGTGTTTGCACATCTGGTTCCATGTGTATCCTGCAGTGTAGCCTGTTCAAGTCCCTTACTGGAGTAAGAAGATTGTATCTCATGCACCCTCAGGACACTGCTTTCCACAATTGTCCCTAAGTTGTGGTGGTTTTGCTTTGTATTTCAAACCCTGCATACGTCTCAGCTAGAGGCGAACCAGGCAGCCTCTGCTCCCCATTGCTGCTTCCTCCTTGCTCCCTGAAGTCCTCTAGCTCCTTTGAAGTAAGTGTTCCTCCTGCGTTCTCCTGTTCCTGCCCCTCGTTCACTGAAGATTTTGGCTCCTGGCTCACTATTTTTCTACCACTGTTGGAATCATCATTCTTGGTGGCTTCAGTATTTATTTAGGCAAGTCACCAGCACCCTGGCATCTTGGTTCCTTGAGGTCACCACCTGGAAAGATCTTGTCCTCCACCTCACTTCAGCCTATCAGCTTTGCCATTACTAGTAACTCCACCACCTTAAAAATCTCAATTCTAAGACTCCACTCTTTGAACACCACATCATATCTTTCCATTGTATCCCTCAAGCAGCTCTCTGATGCCAGTAATTCTTTGGTTCCACTGGAGTTTCTAAGGATTGGTCCTATCACCCTCACACTGTCCCTCACCTTGTGTCCTCACTTCTCTCCTGCCCTGGCTTAGATTCCACAGCCACCATCATAATGATGTCATGCATGCACCCTCATCCCCTGTGCTCCTCCCTCCGACATACTCACCTGGCTACCCAGTCCCAGTTACAACCAACTTTACCTACTTTGCATTTGCACCCAAGTAGCTGTACATATTTAGAGAAGAAAAAAATTTCCACAAAATCCTGTTGACTAGTGTCACTTTAAATTCTTAAAAACCGTTATCAAGTGCGCCTTTACATTTCTGACCTCTTAGATGACTATTTCACACTTTCTCCTTTCTCTTTAACTCTCTCACACCTCCTCCTTCATTCACCCTCTTAGCTGCTGCTGCTGCTTCCTAGTTCACTGAGGAAATAGAAGCTGTCAGATAAGACCATCTGCAGCTCCATCCCCACCTCTGTCTACAACCGCACTCTGCCATTCCCCGTGGTTCTGAACTGTGGGTGCT